AGGCTTTTTTCAGTGTCTAATGTGATGACCATGTGATTTTTGTTCTTTCTATTTATTTATATGGTAGATTACATTGACAGATTTTCATAAGTTGAACCAGTCCTACAGCTTTGGGATGAAGCCTACTTGATCACAGTGGATTTTTTTTTTATGTGTTCTTGGATTTGGTTAGCCAGGATTTTATTGCGTATTTTTGCATCAATGATCATGAGGGAGATTGGTCTGTAATTCTTTTTTTTGTTGCATCTATGTGTGGTTTGGGAATCAGAGTCACTGTAGCCTCATAAAAAGAGTTTGTTAATGTTCCTTCTGTTTCTATTGTGTGGAACAATTTGAAGAGTATTGGAATTAGCTCTTCTTTGAAATTCTGGTAGAATTCTGTGCTGATACCATCTGGTCCTGGGCTTTTTTTTTTTTTTTTTTTTTTTTTGCTGCTTCTATTTCCTTAGGGGATATAGATCTGTTTAAATTGTTTACCTGGTCTTGATTTAATTTTGGTATGTGGTACCTATCAAGATAATTGTCCATTTCTTTTAGATTTTTCTAATTTTATGGAGTATAGGCTTTTGAAGTATGACCTAGTGTATCTCGGGATTTCCTGTTATTATGTCTCCCTTTTCATTTCTGATTTTGTTAATTGGGATATTCTCTCTCTGCCTTTTGCATAATTTGGATAAGGGTTTGTGTATCTTGCTGATTTTTCAAAGAACCAACTCTTTGTTTCATTGATTCTTTGTATTGTTCTCTTTGCTTCTGTTTGGCTGGCATGAGATTCTTTATTTCTTGTATTTTCCTGGATGTGGTTAGCCTCCTTGAGTTTGGGAGATTTTCTTCTAGCACGTTCTGTAGTGCTATATTTGTAGATAGATGTTGTTTAAATTGACCTTTGTCATGGAATATCTTCCTGTCTTTATGTATGGTGATTGAAAGTTTTGCTGGGTGTAGTAGTCTGACCTGGCATCTGTGGTCTCTTAAGAGTCGGTAGCACATCTGACCAGGCCCTTCTGGCTTCTAGAGTCTCTATTGAGACTTCAGGTGTAATTCTAACAAGTCTGCCTTTATATGTTACTTGGTCATTTTCCCTTGAGGCTTTTATTATTCTTCCTTTGTTCTGTACAATTATTGTATTGGTTATGATGTGGTGGGTTCACTTTCTTTCTCACTACAACCTATTTGGTATTCTGTGTGCTTCTTATACCATAATAGGCATCTCCCTCTTCACGTTAGGAAATTTTTTTCTATGACTTTTTTAAAAACAAATTTCTGGGCCTTTGAGCTGGGTTTCTTCTCCTTCCTCTCTACCACGAATTCCCAACCTGTGAGTTGTGACACCTTTGGGGGGGGGGTGTCAAAAGATCCTTTCACAGGGGTCACATAGCAGATGTCCTGCACATCAGATATTTACACTATGATACCTAATAGTAGCCAAATTACACTAATGAAGTAGCAATGAAATAATTTCATGGTTGGAGTTCACCACAACATGAGAGACTGTATAAAAGTGCCACAGTATTAGGAAGTTTGAGTACCACTGCTCTATACCTATTATTCTTAGGTTTAGTCTTTGCATAGTGTACCAGATTTTCTGCATGTCTTGTGTCAGGTGTTTGTTTGTTTACAGACAACGTTTTCTTTGACCAATGTATCCATTTCTTCTATACTATCTTAAATGCCTGAGATTCAGTCTTCCATCTCTTGTCTTCTGATGGTGAAGTTTGTTTGTCTCTGTAGTTCCTATAGGATTTCCTGAACATTTCATTTCCACAATTACCTCGGTTTGGGTTTTCTTTCCTGATTCTTTTTCCAGTTTCAGGTCTTGCATGGTTTTATTCATTTCCTTCCACTACTTGTGTTTTCCTGGATTTCTTTAAGGGATTTCTTTATTTCCTCTTTAAGGGCCTCGGTCACCTTCATACAGGCTGTTTTAAGGTCTTTTTCTTGTGCTTCCGCTATGTTGGAATATTCAGGACCTATATGGAAGAACAGCAGGGCTCTAGTGGTGACATGTTGTCTGGGTGCTATTGGTTGTGTTTATACACTGGCATGCAGGCATCTGAGTTTGGGAAGTCTGCAATTCCAGATGCTGATATCTGGTGTTGTCTTCATTGGGTGGGTGTTTTGTTCCTTGGTGTCTGTTTCCTCTCTGATTTTCACAGTGTGTTATGGCTATGTGTTGCCTGTTTTCCTGGCCTGCTCAATCGGTGTGTTTACAGGGAATGCCTGCTGGTGTTGGAGGCTGGGATACTGGATGAGTTGAGGGAAGGAAGGTTGGAGGAGAAGGTCCTTATGATCTGTTGGGGATGGGGTCAGAGAGGAAAGGGAGACCACAGCAGGTTTCCCCCCACAGGGCTGGGGATGAGACTTGGGGGGGATTTCATCTCAGGAGCAGTAGGAGAGGTGTGGGTCTGCCTTCAGCCTACTTGTTGGCCTGGAAGGAGTTGCCCTTGGGTTAGCAGGGGTGCCTGCTGGAGTTGGTTTCTGGACCAAAGCAACAAGTGTGGGGGGTGATGTTGGAAGGGGAAGCTCTGTGGGAAAGCCAGTAGATGGAGGCAGGGGGCAGGGAAGGCAGTCAGGGGTGCTCTGCTACAGAGCTGGGGAAGAGACTGGGGATTGCATCTGATGAACAGAGAGAGAGGAGAAATCTGCAGGCAGCTTTCCTGCTACCTTGTTTTCTGACAGCCATGGCCCATGGTTTAGCAGAGGTTGCCTGCTGGAGTTGGGAGCCTGGATACAGCAATGTGTGGGGGGAGGAAGACTAGGCAGGGACGGTCTTTGGGATCCATCGGAGTTCTAGGTGGAGAGGGGGAGGCTCCAGCTGGTGTCCTGTTGCAGCACCAGGGACCAGACTGGGAGGTTGAATCTGGGGGAACAGAGAGAGGAGAAGGCCTGCAAGAAGCCTAGCTGGTTTTCTCCTATGCCATAGTCTTTGAGTCAAAAGGAATGTAAATGTCCTCTTGCCTGCCTGGAAAACAACATTCTTCCAAGCACTTGAAACATTCTTCCAGCCTTCCTAGTCTAGAGAGTTTTGGGTTGGGGTGGGGGCAGACGGTGTCTAATAATCGAGAGTTTGAGAGAACAATTTTAGTATTGGCCTGTGCTTCCTATACGTGGTGATCCACCTGTCAAGACTCATTGAGACCCTGAGACCTACTTTCTCGCCTTACCCTCTCTCTGCAATGAGAGGCATGGAGATATAAACATCCCTGCTGTAATCAGAGCTCAGAGAAATCCCTCCAGCCTCAGCTACTTCAAAATTCTAGGCTAAGCTCCCCAGCCCAGGACCACTTAAGAGATGAGAGGTGATCCAGCCTGAGATAGGCACAGGGGTAGATAAATGGGATTGGTGACCACAGGGTCGTTCTGCTGACCCTGACATATGCTTTTAGCTTAAAGTGAGGAAGAACTTGGGAAAACAGTCAAGGAATGTCCATAACTAAGACATCCAGAGCAAAGGTCAAGCTGAGCTTTTCTTGTCCAGGTCCGGTTCTGAAAGACTACCTGCAGAAATCGTTATACCGCCACCCCTCCAGGACGTGGATCTGGCTCCTGCAGGGTGTGTAGCCTCGCCATCATGGATAACTGGTCTCAAGGGAGTGTAATGGTCCCTCTGCTGTGGGGCTCTGCTCTTCCTAGAATCCAGGGTGACTACAGGTTCAGGACAATGACTCCACTTGGGCCTTCAGTCTGGATGGGAGTGAGGACAGGGTTAGGTACAAATGGCTCTTCTAGACAGACAGTCGCTGAGTGACTGTCGTAGGTATGCAGGGTGACACAGGGGTCTGACAAAGGAAAGGAGACCAACAGGAAAAGGATGCCAGACTTTTGTTCTTCATTGTCGTTAGTTACCTTGTGGGCCCAAGTGAGGATCTGATGCTTTCTTTCTTGACTTCAGAATCCAAAGCAGCTTCTCAGGGCCTGTTATACCCCCAGGCCCTGGGACAGACAGTGGCCTCCGAGGAGGAGAAGGATGCTGGCACAGGCACAGAGTTCTGGATTACCTGTGACCAGGGAAAAGGGCATCCCTGTAAGTACAGCATCTGTACCAGTCCCTACTTTTGATTCTCTATACCTCCCCACTTTTAGGCGTCGTGTGCTAAGTGGTTTAAAATGGCAGACTGTGAGTGAAGCTGCCCCAGAAGGCTTTACATGTCCATCATTGGAAATGAGATTTTCGCTGTCATGAGTGGGTGGTACATTCAGAGGATACCAGTGTAATGGCTGAGGCCTCCTCATGTCTCTGAATGGCACTCCAGAAGCTGTCAGGCAGATGGTTCTCTCCTTCCTGGAAACGCATGTCGAACAGGCACCCAGCCACCCCAGCAGAATGAGAATTCTCAGATGTGCAGCTCCATTTGCCTGAAGATCCCATCTGGACTGGGGGCCGATTCAAACCATGATGGCCGATGATGATGTGGTGTCCGTGCACAGAGTTTTTCTCTGGTCATTTAAATCACATCTGGTGGTGCTGTTCTTCCCTCTTCACCCACTCCCTTGCCCCCGTGTTCATGAAGAGCAATGGGAAGTGGAAAGCGTGATGTGGCTGATGTGGAGCTGATTCTTCACTGCACATTTCACACTGAGAGCAAGGGATGCATTCCCAGAAACCAGCAGGCTCTGCTGACACTGAGACAGAGTCCCATCTTAAGTCCAGTGGTCAGGAAGGCAGAGCCTCCCCAGCAGTCTGCTCCGTAAAGATTTCACATCCTTCTTCCCCTTTGTCCTTCACCCAGTCTTGACCACCTTTGTGTAAGGTGCGAAATTAGATTTGGTGTTCCTGTCTGCACGTAATGCCGCTGCTTCTCAGCACCTGATTTCCAACTGTGATAAAGCTTATTCAACCTCCCACACACTGCTGCAGTCTGGAGATTCCAGGCTACTGTGCACATGCATCCGCCAGGCTCTTGGAGAATGCATTCATGCACACACACACACACACACAAACACACACACATACATACATACATACATACATACATATATATATATATATATATATATATATATGTATATAGCCATTCCCACCTGCACAGGCACCACACATGCTTACACACTGTGTCCAAGTATCAATGACATGACAACCTGAGAAGAGGTCTCTGTATAGCAGGCACCCTCTTTGTGTCGCTGTGTCACTCCCTGCATGGCTATGAGTGTAGCAGGGGAAGAGGACGATGAGTGGGTGAAAGAGGAATTGGCAGGTCGTCTAGACAGTCCGGATGTCTTAGGGACAGTGGGAGCAGTGGAGGACTGTGAGGCAGTGGGCCAGTCCGGTAGATGGTGGAGGCTTTCAAAGATTACCGAGACTAGAGGAGACAGAGGTTCACAAGTGTTTGGCGATGGTGAGTTCGGTGCACAGAGTGTCCAGGATCCCTGGGACTATCAGGTAAGAGTGGACTGGGAGGACACTAGAAACTGAGGACCATCTCCAAGACGGAGGTGCAGCTGTGGAGCTGGGAGTCATCAGTAGATGGCGACACAGCACAGCGGTTAAGACCAACATGCCTAGGTTTGCATGGGGGTTCCAGGACCTGTTAAATCCTTCACTGGGTACAGCATGTCAAAGCCCTCTGTGTCTCCTCCATTTCACAGACTCAACGAGAGGGATGGGAACAAAAAGGTGATGGTAACACCATAACGCTGCCGCCATCCCTTAGTGAACGCGAATGTTGCCTTTGTAGATGATGATTGGCTCTACAGAGATGCTGTTTTGTCGAGGAAGGGGCTAAGCAGAAGGGCAGAGGGGACCAGTGAGGACTGTGGAGCAGGTGAGTACAGGCTGGGTACAATGGTGTTCATGTGTGCACTGCTGTGAAGAAACCCGTTATTTCGGTTCTTATAAACCCTTTATGGGGCTGGGACTGCATTTCATTTGACAGAGATGCCTATGTCGCAGGAAGCCTTTGGTTTGATCCCAAGCCTCACATAAAATGGGTGTGGTGGCACAGGCCTCCAATCCTGGCACTTGGGATGTGGAGGCTGGAGGATCAGAAACTCAAGATCATCCTGCTTAGAAAGGGAATTTGAGGCCAGACTCAGCTACATGAGACCCTGACCTCCAAACCCTGATAAATATCCAATTTCAACTCATTTCAATGAATACATAAGTGTTCCCATTGAATTACTCCTTTCCTTGGACTCTAACAGAAAGGCAATCCCAGCCTGTCACACAGTGGTTCTCCCTCCTTTTCAATGGGCAGGCCTAACCATGGACACTTCCCCCTACACCACCACCCTGAGGACAGTGTTTAGGACCAGTTTTCCCTCCCTCCACTGTTAGGTCACTCTCAGCACCTTGGAAACTCTTCTTTGGTCACAATGAGTCCCAGCAAGGCCGCAGAGCCTCTGGCAGGTCTCCTCCAGGGCTGCCACACTGTCCACTGGGGCTGGGAGTGGTGTGGGGGGCTGATGGTCTCAGGGCCCCCAGTCAGGGAGTGGAACTTGATTTCACATGAAAAGAAAAAAGAAATCTAGCTGGCTGCTAAAGGTAAGAAGCTGATCACCAATTCGACCTAGTCCTGTCTCCTTTCCCCAGCTTACCCTCTCCCTTCAGGGAAAGAGCCAATCTTCCTGAGAAAGAATCCTGTTTCCCCAGAGAGGCTCTGGACACAGCCAGGCTCCAGTTCCCAAGAGACCTTGGCAAGGAGGGCCCAGCTTCTCCGCACTGTCTTGTAGGCCTTCAGCTCTGGGAGTTCAGCTGTCTGTATCCCCCAAGGCCACTCTCCATTGTACAACATCCAGTAGCAGGAAGAACTGAAGCAGAGTTTGATATCCAGGCAGCGTGGACTCCGTCCAGAGACAGAGAAAGGTGATCTGCTACGATCAGGTGAGGTGAGACTCGGTGTTTCCACCAGACTGGGCACATATATATGATCTTTGTTTATCAGACACAATGGGCTTCCCGAGTAAGGGGTTGTATCCTGTTCCTAGGGTCATGGCTATGATCTAATGATCTAAAATCCTGTTCAGAATATTTTTGGTCCCTTTCTGGTTGGAGAAACTGGACCTCCACAGGTTGTATGTCCATCACGAACCAATTAGACTTGAATGACTGACAGAAGAGACTCCGTTTTCAGACTTTGGGCCACGTAGCTTACAACAACCCCACCCCCCCAATTTTTTTTCCAGAATTGACAGGGCATGATAGCCCATCCCAGGTATCAGGATACAGAAGCAGGCACTTCGGTGCCAGTTCTTGGGTGGTGTGCTCTATAGAGTGAGTTTCAGGCCAGCCACAGTTACATAGTGAGACTCTCTCTCAAAAAATAAAATAAAATAAAATAAAATAAAATAAATGTAAACAACAACAACAACAAAAAAACAATACATGCCCACTGAAGATGACCAGGTCTGCCACAAATATATACCAAAGAAACCACTTAGGATGTAGAGGAAGGTGTGTATAAAATGATGTTTGTTGAGGACTCCGTAACAGTCAGGGTTGGAAATGTCTTAGATGTCTGATGATAGGGCTAATTAAAATATGATGTCTCCCATATCTCGAGTTTTGGATGATATGAAGTCTTCTGTGTCGTAGTACTAAGTGAATATTGAATGCTAACAAGGGTCACTACGGTAGCGGTGAGGTAAATGATTCAGGAGCTTGTGTGCATAGTCAGGAGAAGGGAATGCCCTCATGACCCTCCCGGAAGTTGTGCCAGCACCTCTTTCGTGCTTCTGTTGGACCTTGGAAGCAACAGGTGACAGGACCTAGGCATAGAGAGAGAGAGAATGCTTTGTCTCGGGAGTGGGCTGCTGGAGGAGGCTGAAAGAGAGCACAGGAGGGCACTGGGGCAGCCTCTCCAGCAGCACCTGACTGTGCTTAGCTGCTGGGCAGCAAGGGTACAGGGGTCTGGTCACCCCCGTGTCGAAGTACTAAACTCCCACAGGAACCGGAGTGAGCCTGGACCCGGCAGCTCCTTCAGGACCTCCTGTACTGAGAGCAGCACTAGGGACATCTGGCTTGGGGCCTGTTAATTCCCAAGGCAGGGCCTATGGCCAACACTACATGGCCTTCTGAAGCTTGGATTCGATTGCATAAGAAATTTCAGTCCCTTGAAGCCAGAGCTTTGGTGGCTGATTGGCAGAGCATTGACGGAAAACCAGTTGGGTTGGGTAAGGCATATTTCCCTGGATGTAAGCAATCAGAGAGCCCTTGTCCTGGAATGCTTAAGGTGTTATCAGAGGATTTATGAAGCAAGCGTTTGCATTCCTGCACTGCCTATTGTATAACCAAGCTTGTCCAGAATATCTAGTGAGTGCCACACCGTGGATAACCAGACTCCTGCATGGTGGTGACCACCGGAACTGCAATGTGACTAGAAATCTGAGTGACCTGAGTGACATGTCCAGACAATCAGGTGTTCCCAGCTTTCCTTGGCTTCATTGCTCAGTCATTAGTGATGAAGACAATAAGATGGGAAAATAAGAAAGTTACAAAGGGTTGGCCAGCAGTACAAACACACACACACACACACACACACACACACACACACACACACACACACACGAGTTTTTCTTATTTTTTCTTTATACTTCTTTTACTCTTGTCTCATAGAATAAATCCTGACCACAGCAGAGCAGTCACCCTCCCATCCACGCCTCCCTGTCCCCTCCCACACCTGCCCTCTTCCCCAGATCCTTTCTTCCTGTTTCCCTTCAGAAAGGAGCAGGCTCCTGGAGATATCAACAGAACACAGCCTAACAATTTATAATAAGACTCGGCACAAACCCGCTCATCGGGCTGGACAAGGAAAAACAGTAGGAGAAAAGTGTCCCACGGGCTGGCCAAAGAATCAGAGATATGCCCACTTTCACTGTTAGGCGTTCCAGAAGTACACCGAGCTCACAACCATAACATTCATGTAGAGGACCTAGTCCAGAACCATGCAGGCTCTGTGAATGTTTCTTCAGTCTCTGTGAGCTCCCAAGAGCCATGCTCAGTAGATTCTGTGGGTCTTGTTCTCCTAGTGTCCTTGACAGACTCTTGGCTCCCACAGATCTCCCCCCCCCCTTTTCTGAGGGAGTTTTCTGAGCACCCAGGGGAGGTACCCGATGCAGATCTCCCATTTGGGGTCCTTCTATGTATACTTGTTTGGCTGTGTGTCTCTGCATCCAGACGAGCAGTATTTTAAACAAAGTCCAGCAGCTGCCGTGCTCAAGTGGGAAAATCAGGAGACCTCATTATCTGGTGCGTGGGCACTTTGGGCATTTGATGAACCCCTACCATAGGGTGTTGTGTACAGACTTGCAGGAGCTCTGGGTTTCCAGTTGATGGTTGCATGGGGACAGGATTTTTAAAGGACTCATATTGATACTCAGCAGAGAATTCTGGTTCAGTCCATGCCAAGTGTAGGGCAAGGTCACACGCATGGCATCCCTTATGTGGTGGGAGGGCTCCTGAATTAGATACTGAGAAGGCTTGAAGAGTGTAGAAGAGAAGAGGGGGACAAGGAGCAAAGATGCCTGTCCGTGTGAATGAAAAAAGATGAACAGTTCTGGGTGGGGCGATTGCTTACATTCTCCCAGGGTAAATAAAGGCTCTGCATTTCAACAGACATAGTTTTAAGATGCTCTCCCACCATGCCACACACACCCCCACACACCCCTCTTGTGGGAGTTACTTCACACTCTGGGCATGGGCTGTGTTAAGTAGCACATTGGAGGGCTGAGAGAAATCAACATAGCATGTCTTATAAATGCTGGAGCTGGGACACAGACACAAGCTCACAAGTGGTGGAGTGGGACACACAAGCTCACAAGTGGTGGAGCGGGACACAGACACAAGCTCACAAGTGGTGGAGCGGGACACAGACAGAAGCTCACAAGTGGTGGAGTGGGACACAGACACAAGCTCACAAGTGGTGGAGCGGGACACAGACACAAGCTCACAAGTGGTGGAGCGGAACACAGACAGAAGCTCACAAGTGGTGGAGCGGGATACAGACAGAAGCTCACAAGTGGTGGAGCGGGACACAGACACAAGCTCACAAGTGGTGGAGCGGAACACAGACACAAGCTCACAAGTGGTGGAGCGGGACACAGACACAAGCTCACAAGTGGTGGAGCGGGACACAGACACAAGGTCACAAGTGGTGGAGCGGGATACAGACACAAGCTCACAAGTGGTGGAGCGGGACACAGACACAAGCTCACAAGTGGTGGAGCGGGACACAGACACAAGCTCACAAGTGGTGGAGTGGGACACAGACACAAGCTCACAAGTGGTGGAGCGGGACACAGACACAAGCTCACAAGTGGTGGAGTGGGACACGGACACAGGCTCACAAGTGGTGGAGCGGGACACAGACACAAGCTCACAAGTGGTGGAGTGGGACACAGACACAAGCTCACAAGTGGTGGAGTGGGACACAGACACAAGCTCACAAGTGGTGGAGTGGGACACGGACACAAGGTCACAAGTGGTGGAGCGGGACACAGACACAAGCACACAAGTGGTGGAGCGGGACACAGACACAGGCTCACAAGTGGTGGAGCGGGACACAGACACAAGCTCACAAGTGGTGGAGCGGGACACAGACACAAGCTCACAAGTGGTGGAGCGGGACACAGACACAAGCTCACAAGTGGTGGAGTGGGACACGGACACAAGGTCACAAGTGGTGGAGTGGGACACGGACACAGGCTCACAAGTGGTGGAGCGGGACACAGACACAAGCTCACAAGTGGTGGAGTGGGATACAGACACAAGCTCACAAGTGGTGGAGCGGGACACAGACACAAGCTCACAAGTGGTGGAGCGGGACACAGACACAAGCTCACAAGTGGTGGAGCGGGACACAGACACAAGCTCACAAGTGGTGGAGCGGGACACAGACACAAGCTCACAAGTGGTGGAGTGGGACACTGACACAGGCTCACAAGTGGTGGAGCGGGACACAGACACAAGCTCACAAGTGGTGGAGCGGGACACAGACACAAGCTCACAAGTGGTGGAGCAGGACACAGACACAAGCACACAAGTGGTGGAGCGGGACACAGACACAGGCTCACAAGTGGTGGAGTGGGACACCGACACAAGCTCACAAGTGGTGGAGCGCGACACAGACACAGGCTCACAAGTGGTGGAATGGGACACAGACACAGGCTCACAAGTGGTCTAGCTAGGACATAGACACAAGCTCACAAGTGGTCTAGCTGGGCCATAGACACAACAATGTGAACCCTGAGCTGGCAGCCCTCAGGAAGCAATGGTCTTCAGGCCCATGACTCGGGATATGTCTGTGAGCACCTTCATTTGCGTTTTCCACCTCCTGTCCCGTTGGCTGTGTCATTTTTCCGGTTGCTCAGAGTGCTCCCAGGGTAGACTTTTGGGGAGCTGAGGCTGAGGCTCTTCTTTCCTTCAGTGTTTTCCCCACTGCCAGGCAGCCTTCTCAGTTCTCCTGAGTCATTCCAGAAGGCCCAGCATGCCATGAGGTCAACGTTTTCATCTGTGAACTCAAATGCTTTGTCAACCCATTCTGCCAGGTAATCTGTCAGGATGAAGGCAGAAGCAGAGACAGCGCTGTCTCTGTCCCTGGGGCATGTTCCTTGACCACAGAGGCAGAGAACTAACACACGGGAAAGAATTAAGAGACCGTTTGTGAGTCTTTCACGGGTCACATTGCCATGAGTAAGGGAAGACATAGGAAGGGCTCAGAACAGTTCACACCCTGATCCGTGTTATTCCCCCCACGAAGGTGCATTATGAGAGCCATTCATTGGAGGGGATTGCCCTTGCTATCTGTCATTTCCCACACCGTCTGCCTTCATGACTGCCTCCATTCATAAATAATACAAGTCCTTCTTTAAGCTCATGTCTCCTGT